TATTTTATAAATAGAGCCATAATATCTTTTAATTTTCTTAATAAATTAATAGGCCTTTATTAGTATTTAGTAATAAGTAACCTTAGTTATTTATGTTTTATTACAGAATTTGGGATTATTAAAGTTCGTATTTATATTGTAAAAAATAATATTAAGTGGTTTAAAATAAGTATTAATTTAGTATTTCTTTAATATTTTTTATATTTCTTTAGTAATGATATTTCTTAGGAATTACGTTATTTGGAAATTGGTGGTTACATTAATAATATATAAGATTAATTACCTATTTAAATATATTATATTAATAATTACTTTATAATTAAACTTTATATTTAAATTTTTTAAAGTAAATTTAAATTATTAAAAAGTTTTTCCTTTAATTTAATAATAATAATAGAATTTGTTAATTTTTTTAAAATTATTTATATTAATATTATATTTAATTTTATTTAATAAATTATATAATTTATTAATTAATAAGTAATTAAAATGCATATATAAATATTATAATTCTATTTTTATAAAGTAAATAATATTTTTTAATTAAAATTACGGATGTTCTTATTTTTTTTTAATATTAATTATTATACTGTTTTTACATATAAGTTAATTAATAATATTATTAAAATATATTTTTAATTAATTTATATTTTTTAATAATAATAAAAATAAAGTATTTAATTTTATAATATAAAAATTTATTTTATTAAATAAGATATTTATTATAATTATATTAAATAATTTGATAAGTGGTTTATTATTAAATTAAATGTTAATTTCTTTAATGCGGGTACTATTTATTTTTAATTATTTATTTAAATGTTTTTTAATAAGAATTAAATATTATCCTTTTTTAATTATAAATATTTAAGTTATTTTTATATTTAATATAATTCTTTAAAAGATATTCTTTATATATTAATTTAATATAAAAACAGTATTAGATTTTGGATTATTTAAAAGGAAATTAGTAATAAAACAGTAGTAAAACGCTTAATTAAATAAATATATAATTATTATATATAAGTTGTTATTTTTATTTAAATTTATTATTAAATAAGTTATTTTATCTTTTTTATGGTTGGATTTTAAGTCTAAGTTTCCAATTCCTTTATAATTTATTAAAAATATTGTATAATTTTTTTTAAAAAGGCCTTATTTAGCCTTTTATTTATCCTTAACTTTTTTTTATTTATATTTTAAATATTTAATAAATTAATATTTTTTTTTTATATATTTAATATTGTTATTTTTAAATTTTAAAAGATTGTTTTATATTATATTTATTTCTTTTATTATTGTAATAATATTTGCAATTGATATAATAAGTGTAATTATTATTATTATTATTATTATTTTTATTTATTATAAATTACCTTACTTCTTTTATTATTTTATATGTTCTAATAAATATTTGGAATTTATTTATTAAGTTTTTAAAATGTGTTAATAATTTAAAGAAAATATATTATAATTAAGGTATAATTTAGTAAGTTTAATATATAATTATAATAAATTATTATTCTTTTTTATAGTTAAGGTTTAATATCTTTTAATATAATAATAATTTATTAAATAAAATTTGAAATATTTTTATATTAATTTTCCTTTTATTTTGCTTTTTTGTTTTAATATTAAAAAAAGTGGTAAAAATTTAATTGTAATAATATTAGATTTTATTTTATTTTATGTTAAAATGTTATTCTATAGTTAAATATATATTTATAAAGTATTAGAATTAAAATATATTATAAAGGAAATAAATAATTGCTTTTTTTAATAAAATAGTAAAGAATATAATATAAAATTGAATTTATTATATTTTAGTTATATAATAAATGTTTAAGAAAAAACAGAACTTATTTTTAAGAATATTATATACCTTTTTTATATAATTATTTTTATTATTTTATATCTTTTTAAAGTAATTAATAATTATTAGAGGGTATATTTTATTAAGGATTTTTATTAAAGGAATGTTATAATAAATATTTTTTTATTAATTATTAATTGGTATAAAGGTTTGTGCTTATTAATTATTTAATTATATAAGTAATGGAGCTATTTAGGAAGAGGAAATGTAATTTTTAATAGATTAATTTCCTCTTTTTTATCCGGCGTTTTGAAGAGCCGCCAGTGTTATATATAAACCACCTAGTGGCGGTTTAGGGGGTTTAGGAACATTTCCCGGGGCTGGTAGGTTAGTTAATGCTTTTTGTATTAGATTATTGTTATATACGGGGTTATATTCTTGTTTATACTTTTATTAAATTATATATGTAGGATCATTAAAATAAACATTATTAATAATAGTTTAAGGGAATGTAACTGTTCTTTGATAAATGGGGGGGGGGGCGGGGAGGTAAAAGGAAAGTTGGGGGTTTAATGTTAAAAAGGTTAAATTATAAGCTTTTATATTTAAATAAGTGGCGAAATGTGGAAAATTAATAATGGGTTATTAGGGATAAAAAAGGGTTATTTTATTATTTATAAGGTTAATAATAAATATTATATATAAAAAAAGGGTTAATTAATTAAAGTGGTAAATTATATTAGGATTTATTTTATATATATTAATATTTAAAAGTTATAAATTATAAATTATTATTATTATAATATAATATATATATATAAATATTTATATATTTAAGTAAATTAGTTTTTAATTAATATTATATATTAATATTTTTTATATTAATATATTAAGTTACTTTTATTTAATTACTTTTAATTTATTTAAATTTTATATTAATAATTTATGTAATAATATAAAATTAATAAATATTTTAACGTAATTAATATTATATTATCTTATATAAATATTTTATTATATTAATATAATTTAAAATGTTAATTATAAAAGTTTTAATATATTTATAAAATTTGTTATTATAAATTTGCGAAATTAGTTTTAATATTTATTTATTATTTCTTTAAGAATATAAATATGTAATATATTTATATTAATAATTTTTAGATTTATTAATATAAATAATATTTAAATTGTTTTTTATTTAAAGGTAATTATTTAAGGGTTAATTAATTTTTATTTTATAACCATATAGTTAAAATATTAAATAAAAGTTATTTATTTAAGTATGTAATTTATTAAAGCTTATAATTTATTTATATTTTTTATTTTAATTAGGTTAATTATTATAATATAAATTTGTACTTACGTTAAAGTTTTTAATTAAAATATTATAAGATATTTATGATAAATAATAAATATTAATTTATTTAATAATATTAATAATAAGTTGGAATTATAATGGATAATAAGGGATTTAAAAAGGTTAAATAATAAAGTAAAACGATAATCTATTATAAATTTAAAGTATATTTATGGGTAAAAGAAAATATATTAATATTATATATGTTATTATAATAAGGTTTTTTTAATTATTGTAATAATAACTTTTTTAACTTTATTAATTTGTGTTATTAAATCTTTAATAATATTAATTAATGTTAATAAGTATATATATATAATATAAAATAATAAATAAGTAAATTAAATAATAATAAAGGTGAAATTAATATATTAATAATATTTAAAAAGGGAAAAATTTATTTAAAGTTAATTAATAATGTAATATCCTTTTATACAGTAATAATGGGTATACTGTTTTTCCCTCCTATATCGGCAGTAAAGCACTTTATCCCTAATAAGGTACTTACGCGCCGATGTTACACAACCATTAATAATCATAAAATAGGTAAATTTTCATTAAACCCTTATTAAGCCGCCGTTAAGCCGCTATTAAACCCCCATTTAATTTTTAATTTTTAATTTTAATTTTTTTATTATATATATTATTTTATTTTTTATTTTTTTATTTTTTTATTTTTTTATTTTTTTATTTTTTTATTTTTTTATTTTTTTATTTTTTTATTTTTTTATTTTTTTATTTTTTTATTTTTTTTCCTTTTTTCCTTTTTTCCTTTTTTCCTTTTTTCTTTAGTTTTTTCTTTTAATAAAAATTAAAAAAAAAATTAAACAAAAGCTAAACGAAGGCTAAACGGAGCCTAAACGGAGCCTAAACAGAGGCCTTATGATTATGTCATTAAATTCTTAGCGGATTTGATTATATCATTCAATTTTTGGCGGTTTGGCGGTTTGATAGCATATGGTCCGCCGTTAAAACGCCACCTAAAACGATCCATGTTCCTGTGCAAGCTTGGCCTTCCCCCGACTTCCTGACGTTACTATGTAAATACTGTCTTATAATCTTATGTACATTGTGTGGGGAAAAAGCAACAACATTTGTGTTTTTTACGCCTTACTTCCTTGCTGTATTACCTTAGCCTAGCAGCCTAGTAATCACTATATGCAGTGTCTTTGCAGTGTCTTTCGTAATAGGTTGGCTCAGCTCAAAGACACCCATCACACACATCACGTTGCATCGGTACCTAGTATAAGGTAAAAAATAATTCACTTTAACGTATTCTATTCCGGCTTCTTTGCAGGGAAAACCTGCATTATGACGGAAGCTTCTCTATGGAGAGGGACGACCAAGCCCAGATTAGGCCCCGCCCCCTTTTCAGGTAGGACCATGCCAAAAAGGTCGATTTTCTATCATTAGGATATTGTAAAATCTGATACCGCAAGAGGCCCAGAATTTAATGCCTCGTGAGATCCATGCCCGTTCGTGCAATTTTTTGGTGGGTTCAACTGTGAAACCGCCTCCCCGTAATGCTTATGCTGGTAACCGTGAGTGCCCCGATGTACAACGACTCAAATGACGACACCAAGAAGAAAAGAAAAGAAAAGAAAAGAACACACGATTAGAGAAAAGAAACTGAGTATGTACGGTGTTGGCACCAATACTTTATATGATCCATGACCGCGTGTAGAGAAAATGCAAACCACCGCGACAGAATTTCCTTATTGCCCGCTCCCTAATCTCATGGGATATCTCCGTAGAACGCCGCCATATCAACACAAATCCTAGCCTAAAGTTTATGCAACGAAAAGAAAAACAAATAGGAGGGTCTCCTTAGTAGCCGGGTTTGCCGGGCATCGGAGGCAGACCGTGTCCCGTGCTCATAGGAGGTAAATGGTTGTGACAGAAGATCTTGTTCGTACCCGACTTCATCCAGTCCTTCTTGGAGGCATCAATATATTTGGTGGGGTCTTCGTAACTCTCCAGCTGGCAGCACTCGACATTCTTCATCCATCGATTCGACATAACCTCACTCATCGTGATGCGCTTCTTCGGGTCGGGATTAAGCATCTTCAACAGTAGACGTCGAAGAGGTGCAGGCCTGACGAATATCTCAAAAGCGGTAACTTTGGGATAGGTATCCTCGCCAACCTGGTCGGGATTCGCCTCTCTCTTCGCATTGATCTTGGTCCAACCGTTAACAAGTTCGTTATATGTTCTTTGACTCGGGGAGGTCAAGCCTGCCTGCGCCTTCTCCCACAAGTTGGCGTTGAAAATTAGGTACAGCATGACGATAGCTGAACTCCAAACATCCAGGGCGCGGGGATCGTAGTCGACATCCTTAGTGAGGACTTCAGGGGCTATGTATGGAAGACTGCCGCAGATACCGGGTTTGCAGAGACGTATTTCACCCATACCCACACCGCACTGGCCACCGGCTTCTCGAAGACCCGGATGTATACCGGAGAAGACTTCGGAGACACCGAAATCCGTTATCTTCAACTTGCTGTCTTTAGTGATCAGCAGATTTTCCAGCTTGATATCCCGATGGGCAATGCCGTTGGAGTGCAAATAATTGATCCCTTGGCAGAGCTGCTTGAACAAGCACATGCGATCTACCTCGCGGGACTCATCTCGGAGATACTTCTTGGAAACTAGGCCGAAAAGGTCTCCTTCGGAGCAGTACTCCATAACATGATTCCAACGTCCGTGGTCAGTACATAACCGAATTGTCTCGACAATGTTGGGATGGTGTAAGCTCTTTGCGATGCTGTATTCGGATTTAATCTTCTTTTCGTACTCCCCCACAGTTTCGGATGAGCTCTTCGATCGAAATTCCTTCACGGCGTACAGCTCGCCGGGGTTACCTTTGCGGACCATAAGAGTAACTTTTGACGTCGCACCTTTGCCCAGATGCTTTCCATGACGGCCTAGGAATTTATGCTGGTATTCGAACTCTTTTGTGAGATCTGCAACATCAACAGTGAAGTCGTCAGGGAGACTGAGACTGAGTCTTCTGGCTTTCATGCCAGTACCGGCGTCGGGAGGAATGGCCCATGGCTGTCTTGTCAACTCCTCTTCGTTCCTCTTTTTTCGTTCTAGACTCCTTGTTCGTCGGTGTGAATGAGCCTTAGTCGATGCAAATCCTACTACTCTATTGCGGAGAGAAAGACCGGTGTTTGCTCTGGCCTTCTTGGAGTTATTTTCCAAGAAGTCTCGCGACGTGGGTATAGACACGCCATTTGACTTTTCTTGTGAATTAGGAGGGGTGTCCAAGGGAGATGCAGGCGATGGTGGGGTATTTGATCTTGTCGACGCAGCTGAGCGGTGATAAGAGAAGCGACGACGACTATCGTTTGGGGTTACTCTATTGGTAGAGGCAAGAGTGGATTCGGATGTCTCTCCATTATAATTGGTTTCTCTAAACTCCGTTGTTACACTGCCGTCCCCCACGTGGAAACTGTTGCGCTTAAAAATTGACGCCATCCTGGTCAAAGCAGATGAGGAACGTCGCACAAAGTTCCTTACCGGAGCTGTGGTTATAGTTGTAGTTGTTGAAGGACGTCGATCAAAATTAGGTTGATCGTATTCCGATTGTGTAGTAAATGGCCTATTTAAGGGTTCATGAGATATCACCGGCGCAATAGACGTTGGTGACAGTGGGGTAACGTTATATTGTGAAGGTGGAACAGGAACAGTTGAAGGGGGCAATAAAAGAGCTGGGTTCGCAGCAACGTCTTTATTAACGACGGTTAGGGAAACATCGGGATGCTCTCGAACACCTGATGAAGAAGCAGCAAGACCATTAGTAATAGAGTCGCGACGGAGGTAAGTATCGTTCTGTTCGCAATAGCGGAAATCCCGTGATTGTCTCCCACTAATTGGCGTAGCGGGTTCGTTGGAAAATGATTCGCTTCCTGTCTCTTCGTCGTGCTCTTCGGGAATTGGTCCGGTAAGGTCTAGAGGATACCGCCGTAATGACTCAATCGGGGTCTTGCTGCTATTAGAACAAGCCGAGGAAGAGGTTGTACTTGTATTTGTATTTGTAGTAATGAAGGAAGTAACCGAGGGTGATGGAGAGATGTCTGTAGGTAGAGAATTGGTTATTAAATTTATTATCGTTTGATTTTTTTTCTTTTTCCTTTTTAATAATAATAAAAATAATAAAATAAAAACAGAAAATAAAATAAAAGAAGGAAAATAAAGTTACAGGATTTTGTATTATTAAAAGTTAGGACTTGGGGGATTGGGAAACGGGGTGGGTCGGGGAGGCTGAATATACCTAAAGGCGTTGTTGATGCAGATGACGAAATGCGAGTAACAAAAGTTGCAGCGTCACCTGTTGTTGTTGCGGTGTCAAAGGAAGAGGGACGCAGCAGCGACTGGGTTGAACAGGGTGAATGCGAGTTATCGGAGGGCAACAGCGATGACATCGCCGGGGACAGGGTCTTGGATTGGGTTTGTGGGGCTGCCATTGTTATAAATTGATTGGTACTATTATATCAAATCCGGTACCAATTTAGTACAATCAGGATGTTATCAGCAGTACAATGCTGTTAACAAACACCTTTTTGGGGGGGCTGTTGATTTTTTTGTAGTGGTAGTTCCAGTGACAGGGCGCTAGGGTTGCTTTGCCAGGTGCCAGGTGCCAGGTCCTAAAATAACCTACAAAAAAAAAATTTAAAAATTAAATTCAGGAGCTGGAGGGAATTTAGCTTAGGTGGGAAAACCAACCCTTAGCGGGGGTCAGACTCGGTGGGATAAACGTTGGCTGAAAATAGGCGCGAGGGTCGCAGATTAAGTGGAAGCAGCTGACAAAGTCGATTGGAACGTATGGCGGGACTTCGGTCGTGGTTTAAACGTTTGAAGCGTTATTTTCCGCCCTGCTTCAAACTTAGACCAAGATAGGTCGTGAAATCTGGGACTTCTATCCGAAAAAGTATACTGATCCGGCCAGGCACACCAGCCCATATCCTAGCCTTACTAGGTAGCTTCTTTCTTTTTTTCTTTTTTTTCCCTGCTATCAAGCCAAAAGAGCTAACGGCTTAACCGAGTTTAGGCCAAGCGCTACTACTTCTTACTGACTTGACTGGATGGAGAACCCTCGGTAGTCGGTAGTCGGATAGTCACTCGGTCGATTCGGGTTTCCGATGACGTTCTTTGTGTCCTTAAGGTTCTTGTTGGTGATGAAGCCAGTAGTTATTACTCGATATAGTCCTAGGTTGGCTGAATAAACAACACCGGCCTAGTATAGATATGGTAACCTCAACGGCACGGCTGAAATGGTAACCGGTCCTTTTCGTTTCCGGAGATGTCGTCTACTGATCTCGCACATCGAACGATTCCCAAAGTAAAATCTAAGATCGATCAGAGAAAAGAAAAGGGGGGACTCCTGTAACTGCGTCTTGGCTGTGTCCTTCTTCGAATGTTCGCTGCAGGTGTTCGACGGGTATGTGGGTGGTGGTTCTAGTTTAATAACAAATGTAGTATGCTGCAATGTCGTGGGTTGCACACACACCACGGAAGTTTTATAAATAATAGGGTCCAGAGATCTACGTTGCCTGAATGCCAAGGCAAACAGCAATGAAGAGGAAGGGTAAGGAAAGTTTCGGGGAGGGGGATGAAAGCCGGTATTATAAGAGTAATTGCAGACTCAGGTTAGGGGCTGGCGTTTCGACATGGTAATGAGCGTTATAATCTCTATGTAAGTATCGAAGCTTGTGGGCACTTTTTGTTGATCTTTGGCCCAAGTCGTAATGTGCATGCGAGCAACCCACTACTACGGTACCCTAGCTCGTAGCAAAGTGCGAAGTACGAGGGCGTCTCTTGTAAGTAATCAGGTAGTATAGTACCGCCGGTACAAGAGAGAGAGAACCGATATCCTATACTAGCTAGCTGCAGAGGACCCTGCGGAGACGGGGCTAGAGGAATCGGCCTGCAGGAAGGTTGATATGTGGTCCGGCCAGGATCAAGCCTAGGTACTAGGAGGTAGGTTTGAAGTTGGAGTGGTTGTACTAGGGACCGTCTATAAAATGAATGGCTGTATGTAGCAGCAGTGGGTAGCACGGCGGCGGCGTGGGGAGAAAGAGAGAATTCTCGACTTAAGTTGTAACTAACTTAGGTAACTTTTAAACTAGGAAAAGAGGAGGACAGAGAAGGAGGGAAAGAAAAAAAAAAAAAGACTCAAAACCCAATTCCCCAGGGACGATCTACGATACTAGTACTGCTTCAATTCTGAGTCTCGGACATTCAAAAGCACTTGGCATACATAACTTCAACGGCATCGTACATAGGTCCTTTGTGTCGAAATATTGGCTATGGCTCCCTGGAAACCTCAGTTGAGTAGGACATGTGTGCGCAGTAATTGCGCGGCAAAATCCATGCGTGCTTGGCAAAGTCAATCATCGTCTACTTACTGACGGGTATGCTGTATGCTGTATGTTGTATGTATGCGAGTACACCATCTACAATCCATCAATCCAGTACCTTAGTACTACTATGTATAGATCGATGGGTCAGAATGGAGAACGTGAGATTACGATATCGACTAGTATTTCAGCATAACTCACGTCAAGCACGCCCACTGTCGTAATACATGTAATCAAACCCGCGATAGGAGCGGGAAGTACCATTAGGGGTATCGTCTACTTCCCAAGGACACCACCCGCGGCGAAACGGGGATAATGTGGAGGAGAACACTTCATAACTTATGTTTTACCACAGTATTATTCGCTACTTTTAAAAGGCTCTAATGTACCATTTAATCAAAGAATTAACTCTAGCTGTTTTCTTAGGTCCTTGGACAATGGAGACCCCAGAGGGTCCTAGTTTCGAAGTGGGTGTCCTACCGTGTAAGTGGGTAAACCAAGGGGGCACTATTCCCACCTCAATCACCGGAAAACCTGAAGTGTCTTCATAACTTTATGCTCAATTACAATTTACATTCTGTAAAAGTAATAGGAATGAATGAGTGGCATTGGTCGAAAGTGAGACCTGATTGGAACGTCTAGCCTAGACCTTAGAGGTTTAGTTTACTATGTAAGTCACGATATCAGGGAACAGTAATACTAACAATAAGGAAACATGACGTCCTGTTACTATCTCAAATGACCGGTGATTGTCAAGCTGCATTCACTACGCTAGCGATAACGTGACATGTTATATACCAATGGACACTGCAGCGAAAATCGTAGGGCATAGACATATGAGCAGATCTCGTGTATCCGTCCCGTCGTCTTCGACATCTGTTCTAGAAGACGTGAAGCCAAGAGATGAATTCTTTCCCCTCCTTCGCGGGTCACCAGTACTTTGATTCCCTGCCAAGGATACATCTTGTGTTAGTTACATATTTGCGAGTTGGTCAAGGAGAGAGATTAACAAAGCACTCGAAAAGTGATTGCCGTCTGTAACTTTCTTGGCTGTGTAAGTCCGTCCTCAGCAATGTTCGGAAGCAACAAAAAAAACAATTGGCAATACCAAGAAACCTTCATCTATTTGCTGGTTCAGTCCAAGGCCTTGGCGTCGCGCGTCCGACCCAGCCACTACCCTACAACTCGCACCCGCCAAGGGCCGGTGATTTTTACGTTCGCCATCAGAAAAACGAAGCGTGCGCTAATAATAATAGAAGCGATTCTTTTTGGCAGCCAAAACGCCAGAAGCACTTGTAAAAGCAGAACCATGATTTCCCAGCTGCCTTACGGGTTTTCGATCGAGATGATGTGTAAGTCGGTTTGAAAGCTTCAGATACCACCTGGGGTTAAACCTTTTGAGCACGCCCGTCGTAGAACAATTAATCACAGACCGTACAATTACGAAGAAATCGATTCATTCGTCCGAAGGGGTTTTCTTGTGTGACGAGGATAAACATTCATCGTTGGAATGGTGACACGAGCCAGTCTCTTCAACGCCCGATCCTACATGCGTCATATCAGGTGTGAACACCTATACAGACTACACAGACGATGATCTATGAGGAAAGTTTGCCTACTATCCCCGATTCTTACTGATTAGCCCGTAGCCACATAGCTAGCTCATCGTCGCAAGGTAAAAACTGACTGGTGCGATAACCGATGAGAATAAACCGTATGTAGTCCGTTTGACCGGAAACCTTCGAGTTTCGTGGTTTGAAATTTGGTCGTCGGCATTACCTTAGCATAGTCCCGAAGAGACTTCTGTCGAGCGAACCCGCCAAGGCTAAACGATCATCGCTGTTGCTCATTAGTCGATGCGCCGAGCATTGGCGGGTGTAATTAGTGAGATATTCTTGGGCCCTGCCCTTTCAGAAGGGGGTTTCGGCCTTGACAGTTGTCTCTCTCCCACGCCTTCTTTTCGGTCCATTGCGTACCCAACGAGGCTCATCAAGAGGATGCGATCATTCCGAGGGGCCCCCGAGCGCGGCTGCGGTATGTGTCGTCGTCTGGTTGCGCGGCGCCGCATTTCCGCCCCCCCATTTCGTGTGTTCTGCCCACTTTACCGGGTCTTTGCGCAGCGGGTTTTGATGCCCACTGGAGGATCTTTAGATAGATCTACCCAAAGCGAAGTAGATGGGATAACCTGCCCTGCCCTGCCCTGCCATGCCCTGACTGCCCTACATGATCACCCTTGAATTGGACATCACTGCAGCATTCGCAAAATTTGGTCATAGTTTCTTCTATCTCGATTCTCTATATAAACTCCGACAGAGTGTTATTAACCTATCATCTACGCCACGGGCGACAGGGCACCAACTAGATTTGCCAGGCATTATCTAGCCGTAGTCCAGCATGCCATACCATTCGCCACAAACGCTTGGATGTCTCGTCAACTACCGACAGTAGCGGGCTTCCTCCGGGTTTTCTCGTGCGCTTCTTCTTAATCTTCGAAGATTAAGAGCTGGGCAGGGGAGGCCATGATGACGATAATAGTAAGATCATGATAATATTAAATTTTACCTTTTTGTGTTTTATGTTTACTTGGCATGGGTGCTGGCGCGAACGCTATTAAAAATAAATCATAGGTAGTCTACGCAGACGATATAAATCCCCCAAGCGTGGTGGTCTCGGCGCTTTGATTGGTTATTACCATTAAAGTGTCTCGGTCTTCCCAAGTGGCGACTATCGACTTCACTATTACTTGGTTTTCATTGTTAGTGAGAAACATCTTGCCTTGGCTCATTCCCGGTTTCTAGGCAGGGCCAAGCTTGGATTTTATGAAACTTCGAAGGCTATATTATACTAATACCTTAGGTAGGTAGGTAGGTAGGTAGGTAGGTACCTAAGATATCGAAAGGAGAAGTATCCTTCGGTCGAGATTCTCGCCTAGCATCATCGCCTAGCCAGCACGACGCCGGTTGAATAGCACCCAGACGCCATCGTAGAAGTGGCCAAGACCCAATCGCCCGTCGACCGAGAACCATCCTCGGAACGGCGTTATGCCTTAATCTCCTTCAATCACATCTTGCATCCCCACGATACCTAACTCTTCCCTCCCCCCCAAT